AGCAGAATAAAGAAGCAGGAGAAGCCAACTGAAAAGCTTTCGGGTCCCTGGCACTTCCTTCACTTGCCACCCGATCGTCACTGATTCTTCCTCGCAACAATCACTAAATATCTAGTGTTAAACCTCTCTATACTGAGAACACAGCTACTCAGATCTGCTCCCCTGCCCCTGGAAAGCAACTTCAGATAAATCTTTGTCGGCATCGCGGGATTGATGGCTGCTCTGAGCCCAAAGGAGCTCCTTTTCAAATTGTGCAGACAACTGCTTTCTGAATGAGACATTTTATTATGCCTGTTGATCTTTGTGAAATCCCTGTGAAAGCAATGGGGAGGTTTAGGAAGGAGAATTAGCTGAAACAGGCTACAACGATATTTAAATGATCCATTTAAAATGAGCCTAGTGTTTTGTTAAGGAGTACATCCTGTGCATGCAGAAGTGAATTCATCCCTCCCACCTTTCTTCAGCTAATGGAAAACTGTTAAGGGAAGCTGATAAAGAGACCATTTGCTCCTCTCCATCAGCTCTATAATAAACTGTTAACGTGAGGTTTCAGTTGCGCCTTGTTTTGCCTCTTTAAATTATGACATGCACAAACTTCTTTTCAATGCAGCGCTTCTGAGGTTTCGATATGTGTAACTTTCTTGGTTTGGGTTGTGATTAAGAGTCACGGATTTATTGTTTGTAGCTTTTTGGCTATTGTCCTGTGAACCCTGACAGTGCTGTGTGCGCCAGCCCATGTCAGCCAACATGGGTCATTATGAAATGCCAGATTTCTAAATTAAGTGTTTTGGAAGTCAGAGGGTAAATAAGCGCTACTTTGGGGATTAAAAAAAACACACACACAACAAAACAAAACATTATTCTGAACAGGGCCCATAGTCTTCACTGGACTCACAAAAGGGTCCATGGCAGAGAAAGGCGTTTCTGCTAGGTCTTGATAAATAGACAGGAGTTTTTCCAGTGGAAAAGAGGTAGGGAAGACATTCCAGGAGGAGGAAAGAGCATGAGAAGAGGAATAGTGGCATCTTAGGGTTGCCTCTAAGGACAATAAGGTAAAGATTCATCACATGTTGTAAGATACCCTTTAAAATGAGACTTGGGGAAATGATGATGGTAAGCTGTAACAGGTAATATTTGTGATCCATGCAACAGCCCCTTGGCTCAGCGTGTGTAATGGCACGTACCAGGCAAGGATTGCCAGAGGGTAGCAGAGGTCCCGATCGTGGCGGCAGTCTACAGAGATGACTGCCTGGAGGGGAGACGGTGAGGCCAGTTCTTGGAGGGAAGCGAGGAGGGGCAGGGCGCGCCAGTGGAAGAATGGACTGCCATTGAGAGGGCTGTGGAGAGGAAGGAGGAAGAGAGGGGGCAGCCGACACCTTTGGTGTTCTGGATTTCTTTCACAACGCTTTGGGTCCTGCAAATTTTTCCATCTAACTCGGCTTTGTGGCCCAGGAGGAAGGGCTAACGCTTACTGAACAACCGCAGTCTCCTTTCTAGCCCTGGATACTGATCACCCCTGGGGGTGGGGGTCAATTCATTCTTATGTCTCTAGTTGCAATCGACAGACCACATTTTCCTCCACCCTTGTCCCTTCACTTTAGCTGCCATATGGAAACATTTTGGATTTTCCAACTGTACTTGAACCAATGCCCCTGTCCCAGCTTCTCTGATCTCCTGACCTCAAGTGCAAGTGATACGTAGGTGTGAGATGACACACAGGGAAGGAGGATCAGGTATAAACTCCTGAGGGAAAACCAGATGCAAGGAAACCAATGGAGAGAGAGCCAAAACATCACGAGTGCTATTCAGATGGGGAGTCCAGCTCTTAAAGGGTCCAGCGAGGCCTCTGAACAGGGCAAGCAGGTCAAGGTGCGTAAGACAGGAACGCAATTATGGGCAGTTCGGAAGCTAAGGCACAAATGAAGGCCTCCACTTTTCAAGGCTTGGTGTTCTCACTGCTTACTCTTGACAAAGACTTTACTCATAGCAGGCAAGGGTGTGTCCTTACTGGGTCTGTGAAACTTTGCTGTAAGGTGGAGAAGGAACAAGCGGTTTCCTCTGCTGGGCAGATTAAGAAATGGGAAGAAATGCCTTCTTTGCGGCAAGGGGTAAAGTTTCCACCAGGTGGATGAAAGTTGTTGAAATAGTCCCTATGAGAGTAACTTGCAATCTACTCGGCTTGTCACAAAAACTGGTACATGAAGCAGTGTCCCAGAACTTTCATGCATTCTTTCACTGATCAAAGCTCCATAGCTTTTTTTGAGGAACCTCTGGTATTTAATGCTGAGTAAAGAGAGCTGACCTTCTGCCATATATAGGTAACAGGTTTGTTTACTTGGTAACAATTCCATCAGCTCTTGATACCAGCTGGTCTTCTAGAATAACATATCGCAAGACAGGCAAGCAGGTTTAAACTCAGTGGTTAAATACAGGGGTGGGCAAAGTAGGTTTATAGTTGTAATGCAAATAAATAATATCATAATTAACAAATAATAATAACAAGAACAAGCTCTGTGTTTTGTGTACTCACAACTGTAAAACTACTTTTGCCCACCCCTGTATTGCTGTGCTCACCTTTTTAAAAGCCAAGAGCATCATATTACATTTTCCAGCTTTCACTGATTTAGGTTTGGCTCTGTAGACGGTGAAAGACATCAGGCCAAGTGTTTATAAACACAGTGGACGCGAGGCTATCTGTGCTTCTGTACATTTTCCTGGAACACCTGTGAGAAAAACAAGTGGGCAGAAATGTTTTTATAACAAATTAAATCTCAAACAATGCCTAAACCTCCCTCTTACCCTCTCATCGCTTCTATTATTAGGTAGGTAATTCTACCTTTAAAAAAAAAGAAAAAGCTTCATTGAGATACAATTCATATATCATGAGATTCACCATTTCAAAGGGTGCAATTCAGTGATATTTAGTATATTTATAAAGTCCTTCATTAATTACCACTATCTAATTCCAGAATATCTTTATCACACCAGAAAGAAACCACATATCCATAAGCAGTCACTTCTCATTCCTCCACCTCTCTCCACTCCCAGGCAACCACGAATCTACTTTCTGTCTGTACGGCCTAACCTGGGCATTTCCTTTAAAGTAAATCATACAATATTTACCTTTTTGTGTCTGGCCTTTCATTGAGCATCATGTTTTCAAAGTTCATCCACATTGTAGCATGGATGAGAACTTCACCCAGTCTCTTTATGCTTGAATAATACTGTATGGTCTACACTCTTCACCCTAGAGGACACACCTGCTCTTCCATTTAAGGTTGTGGTTTTATTATTGCATGCTAGAAGATGCTGAATAAAATACTTCCCTTGTCCACTTCCTCTTCAGGTGATCATATCAAAATCAACATGGCAGTTTTCAGTGGGCATTTTCCATAACTAGAATGAACAGAGCCAAACAGCCTGTTCTGGTTTATTCTTTGAGTTCATTTCCTAGCATGTTCTGGGGAAGGTAGCAGCTGAAGCTGGTGGGTATCAGAAGTGCAGCAGTCCCAGTGGGCCCCTTCCATGGCTGGCCCCCAAAACCTTGCTCCTAAAATTCTCAAAGCTAAGAATGATCTGACAGACTTTATAGGATGTGGTGGGGACCAGGGCTTGACTGAGCATGTAGTCATTTTTTTCATTCATCAGAGGGCAAAATAAAAGGACATTTCAGACATGCAGGAGAATGGGAAATAGGGCATTGGCTAGAAAAAGAAAATACAGCCTCCTTCCTCATTGGGTTCTCTGGTCTGTGAGTAATGGGTAAGGCCACCTAGCACACAGTTGGGAGGGTCTGAAATCTCGGGGGCTCTTCTTGTTCATTGGAGTTAGAGTTTCGGGAAGGTGAGCTGGGGCCATAGAGAAACCTGAGTGGACACATTCCATGTGTGGGTGTGTGGGCAGCTACTGTGAACAGAGTGATGGGCATGCCTAGCATTCAGAATTTGGCAGCAATGTAGGATAGGAGCCTGCCAGCCTTCTGAGTCACCCACAGAATTACAGCTAACAGTCAGTTTTATGTTAATTATCTCAATCAGTATAACTCAAAGCCAGGTGTGTCTGCACTCTATTTGTGTGTAGGAGGCACATTATCTGGTTTAGGGTTTTAGATCTTCCTAAGTATGAGCCAAAATAAACAAACTTGGTCGATCAAGACGCTCTTCATTTTGCAGCAGCCATGGAGGTGTGGTGGCTGGATTTCAGGTGCTGGGCGCAGAATGGAAGCAGTTCTGTTTGCTCCCCACTAGGCACTGCAGTAGGCACCCCTGACAATCCCAAGTGGAGGGATGGGCAGTGGGTTAGCCTTTTGAGGACACAAAGTAATCCAGATGATGGCATTTTTTATTACGGGAATCCTGGCAGAGTGTGAGTGTGGGGCCCCCACAAGGCATTCAGTCCTGGAGTGCCTCTGAACTCTGTTGAGCGACACTGCCACGCTGCCGCACGTTTCTAGGAAGATGGTATTATGGGCTGAATTATGTCCTCACAAAGTTCTTAGGTTGAAGCCCTAGTCCTTGATCCCTCAAAATGACTCTATTTGGAGATTAGGGCTTGAAGGGTTCAAGTTAAAATGAGGCTGTTAGGATGGGCCTTAATCCAGTATGAGTGGGATTCTTATAAAAAGATTAGGACTCAGAGACGTGTAGAGGGAAGAGACCATGTGAAGATGCAGGGGAGAAGACGGCCATTTACAAGCCCAGGAGAGAGGCATCAGAAGAAGAAACCAACCCTGCCAACACCTTGATCTTGGATTTCCAGCCTCCGGTGAGAAAATAAATTTTTGTTGTTTAAGCTACCCAGTCTGTGGAACTTTGTTATGGCAGCACTAACAAACTAAGAGAAGGTATAATCAGCAAGGTAGGCAATGCAAATGGGGTACTTACTGTAAGCTTCTCTGAAGTCACTGGTTCAAGTAAGGGTGCTAAGGGGTAGAGTTACTGAAAACCGCTATCTTCGCCCAATACAAAGTTTAAGATAATGACTCTGTGTTTGTTTATTGCCAGTTTTTAGAGAGGGAGGGAGGGAAGACAGGGGCAGATCTGCCAGGACAGTCAGGGGGCCATGCTTTGGTGGCTACAACAGCAGACTCCACAGAAGACGGTCATCTCAGCTCCTGTTTAATTGTAGTTGGATATTAAACATTTATAAACTTTTTATACAACAAAACAAGTACATGCAAAGTTACAAATATAGAAAATATAAAGTACATGCATATTTCAAAGACCACTTTGGATCCTTATACAAAACTATTCAGTGCACATTGTAAGCCCAAGGACCACACAAAAGGGTTTCCCACGTATTACGTATTTAGTACCTTACAAAAACAGGTAATGCATCAGATACTTCAGATGTTAACTGTTCTAACCAAAATTTGTTTGTCATGTGCACTATATGTATATACATATATTTTCGTTTACATAGAATACACACACAGTGCAAGCCAATAACATTGCAGAATAGAAACATAGATCTGCTGGGTGACAATATTGAACAATCCAAGGAGTAATCTTACCTTATTTAAATAACAGGAACAAAATTTCTTTTTCCACTCTAAATGGATCATGCTCCTGTCATCTCCAGCCTAGCATTTTTTCTTTTTTTTAGATTCCCTATTCTTCCATTCAAAAGCCAATTACAGAGACAAAGGACTCAACCTAATTCTAGTTTTTGACAATCATGAGACAGCTCTGAAGAAATGCAAGCATTTCTTTGTACACTAATCATTTTCTTCATTACATAATCTTCTGATACTGGTGTTTTTTGCAGCTGCAGCTTCCTCTATGTCAAAATCTCATAGCTTTACTCAATGTCAAAATCATTTCTATTTCCAGGTAAATGAGCAAAGGAGATTTGTTCTTGGTGTCCAGAAGATAAATTAATCTTTAACTACTTTAATCATCTACAGTTTATGTTACTAAATAAAGGAATGCCACATGTAGGTACCCTCCAAGGGCACCACTCCCAAATGTTGGACATTTTTAGCCCCAGAAGCCTTTCATATTATGTTAGTTATGTTCATTCCCTATGAAAATGCCCTCTACCCAGAGATCTAATGTTGCATGAATATTTACTCTCAATGCAATAGCTGCTGTGTAGCCTGTACTGCAAGATGCAAAACATTGTCACAGTTCCCTGCAGAGACAGGGCACACATTCTCCAGCAGGCTGAGCCTGGGCCTGGGAGCTAAGGATTTCTAGTTTTGCTTTTTTGAATGAGCATCCTTCCAAATTTGGCAGAAATGCTGTTTGAACTGGCAAATGCAGTCAGGTTTTCTTAAAATGAATGAGAAAAATGTGTCCAAATTGCTACAAAATCACTGCTAACTAAGATGGAGCATTAGTGTACTGAGCTCTAGTGGGGCAAAGAGCCAGGGGTATGTAGGCAAAGGTATTCGAAGACTGTTTTGAGATTATTTAGCCTCAGTCTGTTGCACTAGCCAAAAAATAAGCCTAGATCACAGAATGATTATGTGCTGTTACACCCTTACCAGCCCAGCACTTGCACTGGTCCATGAAGGACTCAATCAAATGGGCTTGACTACACAGCCTGCCAGGCCTGCTCTGCATTTCCCTGTGCCATCGGGGCCAAGGGGATTAGCCTACGGGTGACAAAGGGAGAAGCAAGAATGAGACACTGCCACTACAGGGCTGCAAGTAGATAACCCCTCCCCCAACCCGGTAAAAGATGAGGATGATGGAAACAGAAAGCGGCCCTCATCCCACGATTAGGAAAATGAGGAAAGAGAGGAGGAGGATCACAGGAGGGGAGGAGAAAAGGATCATGCTCGCCCCTCTTTGGTAAGCCTGGTACTCTTTCTGGTACTGGATGGTGCACATCTCCTCCACCACACGCTGCATTATCTTGACGTCAGTCTCAGTGAAGTTCTCCCCCTTGGTGGTGGTGGTGACCGTGTGCTCCTTGACCGTGATGTTGACGCAGTCACGCACGAAGTTGTTCTGGTTGCTGTATTGATCCACAGGCCTGTAGTACACTTGGTCGGGGAAACGGTGCATGTTTTCACGATAGTAACGGTCCTCATAGTCATTGCCAAAATGTATGAGCGGCCTGCTCATTGCACTCCCCAGCATATAGCCGCCCAGGCCCCCCACCACGGCCCCAGCCGCGGCAGCTCCTGCCACATGCTTCATGTTGGTTTTGGGTTTACTGGGCTTGCCACCATAGGGCTGTCCCCAGCCTCCGCCACCATGGGGCTGACCCCAGCCGCCACCATGGGGCTGACCCCAGCCACCACCATGGGGCTGACCCCAGCCGCCACCATGGGGCTGACCCCAACCGCCACCATGGGGCTGACCCCAGCCGCCACCATGGGGCTGACCCCAGCCGCCACCACCCTGGGGTGGGTAGCGGTTGCCTCCAGGACTTCCTTGCCCTGGGTATCGGCTCCCGCCACTGCTGCCTCCTCCTCCAGGCTTCGGTCGCTTCTTGCAGAGGCCCACGTCACTCCATGTGGCCACAAAGAGAACCAGGATCCAGCCGCCTACATGGCTTTTCACCATGATGACTTATCTGCAAAATGAAGAAGGTGTCAGTGTTCTATGTCTCTGCCGAAACCACTTAACTTTTGCTGCATAACAAACGAATGCAGAGCAGTGGCATCAGCACCTTGGTCAAAAATGCTCTTCACTCTGCGCTTCACCTTTGCAGCACTTATGACAGAAGTAACCATTAAGTAAAGGGTTAACACAATGCTTCTTCTCTAAGGACAAACTGACCTTAAGATAATTTCTGGCTGTTCCCTGGAAACTTGATAAGGGTGGAATGCCAGCAACATTGCTTATAAATAACCTGATTTATAAACTGCAACTAGACTGAGAGAACCTACAAACATTTGGTGGGTTTGCCATTAGTCTGGACTTTAGATCAGTGATCCTTGTACCCGGCACATCCTTGTGGGTAGCCTGGAAGCTGTGTCCATCAGGCTGTTATAAGGCACAGTGGATCATGTGAAGCCTGAGGCTTCTATGCCAATGGGAACCTGTTACCCACTAATATGAGTATCATGCCCTTAAACCTGAGCAGTCACTGTGGGGCCTGGGGGTGGAGACATGCTCCCAGCTGCTGGGCGGACCACTCAATGACCCTGGTGGGCCCCCTATGGAAGTCTTGTGAGACTAATGTCTAGTTAGGATGACTCCCAGGTGGGTGCTGCTGTAATGAAATAACTTTGCAAATAGTTGGTTTTTGTCTTCTCTCCTCTGTGAGAGTATAAGAAGGAAAGAAGTCTCTTGCTTGCTGCTACTTCCTTAGGGGCTAGAGCAGTACCTGGCACAGCGCAGGTACACAATACGTATCTGTTAAGTGAAGGAACAAATATCCCCCGAACATATAAATGCCATCAAGAATTTTCTCAAAGGAATATATTTTTTTTTCTGAAACAAGAAACATGCTGGATTTTGCAAGACCACTTGTAAATTAATTTTCCTCTTTAGAGATGAACAGACAGATGGAGCTCCTTAAAATGGGGTAAATATGGCTGTGTTCACAAGATTTGCAGTCACTCATTGCCTGAGTTTTAGTTCTGCATGTAATGGTTTATGAGTGACTTATTTTCTTCTAATTTTTGGTACAAAAGAAACATGTCTTACATAAAAAGGCTTAGGAAAAAACAAACAACCCAAATATCCTGGATGATAATTTATGCCCCTTTGCAGAATGTATATTCATTCGTCCAGTTAAAAATCTCACTTCAGACTAAAGATCTCATTTATCCTGGATGCTCGGGTCCAAGGGCAGAGCTCAGAAGCACATAGTAGAATGACTATTAAATAATTTCTATCCCAAGTCAAAGGATATGCTCTAACTTATCATTAGATACCATAAAACCAAAAATGGCATATGCTGCAATGCTGATGTTAATCTTTACCCTAGCACTGTTTATCTTCAAATAAAAGTGGCATCAAGTACTAGAAAACTATTTTTCATAACCTACAGAGCTAAAGACTAAATTGGATAACATTTCAAAGAAAAAGAAGGATGAAACAAATAAGTGAATTAACATCCTGTTTATGTTTTTACTATCATTGAAATGTCTTAGAGGTCATAAGGAAATAAAAGTACATTTGGCCCTGGCTTGTGTGGCTCAGTGGACTGAGCACCAGCCTGCAAACTAAAGGGTCTCTGGTTTGATTTCCAGTCAGGGCACATGCCTGGGTTGCATGGGCCAGGTCCCCAGTAGGGGGCGTGTGAGAGTCAACCACATATTGATGTTTCTCTCCTCTTTCCCTCCCTTCCCATCTAAAAAAAATAAAATCTTTAAAAAAAAAAAAAGTACACTTGAAAGTTATGAGCCAAGTTAAACTGCTCAGATCATACCAATTTAGGATTTTTGGAGGCTCTTTGGGGTAGGGGTCCACGGGGCAGGGTGCCGGGACATGCTGACCAGCCTCATCCTTGCCCCCACGTCTCCTGGCCGTCCAGTCTTCCACAGGCCCCTCTTCTGATCCACTCTGCATTGCTCAGGTCACCCAGCCTCTGGCCTCCACGCTGCTCACCTTTCTGTGCAAACACTCCAGGGAACTAAACTAGGGAATTGTCACCCTCAGTCAATAACTCCTAAGCCAAAGGGGTTTTATGTCCATAAACTATTTCATTTACCTTAATGAGCCAAACCCAGCCAACACCCTGGAGCGATTCTTGAATTTTCTCATTCTCACAGCACACATTGATTCTATCAGCAAACCTTATCGGTCTTTCTGGAAAACAAATCCTAACTCCTGAAACCCGTTGCATTTTCCAGCACTACCATCCTAGTGGAACACTTCTCCATCTCTCGTGACTCCAGCCAGCTGGAGTCTTTAAGGAGCCTCCAGCCAGGCTCCCTGCTTCTGCCCAGGCCCCATTGTGTGTTCTCCACTCAACAGCCTGAGAGAGCCTTTTCAAAGGTCACACCATGTCACTCCTTCAAGCTCAGGATACAACCCAAAGTCCTGACCATGCCAGGCAGGCTCCATATGACCTTCCCACTGCTCCTCCTACCTCGGGACCCTTGTCCTTGCTGCTTCCTGGGCCTGGAAGGCTCTTCCTTCCAGTTCCTCAGACTAGTGGCTCTAGTCTGCTCTGACATCACCTCAATATGGCATCCACACCGCTCTACAAAAATCAGCCCTCTGCTGTATACCCTTCCCAGCAAGTAGAATGCTACTTGACATCTATTATTTATTGTTTATTATTCATCTTCTCCAGCACAGGAGTATTGTTTTGTGCACAGCAGTATCCCTAGTGCCTAGAGGCAGTGACCAACTCATAGACTTGCAACATAAATGCGGATTGAACGGATGAGCATCAAATTATCTATGATAAAGCAAAAGAATGAACCAAGCTAACAAATAGATATCTAGAGTGAACCATATTTATAAATTTACAAAACATTCTTTTCTGCAATGGCCAACTGTCTACTATCTTTAGTGCAGTAAAATAACATTTACTTCATGTGCCAACCATGAATGAAGGAGTTACCTGAAACGGCTGAGGCGGGAGACAGAGGAGGCTGCAAGGGGAGGAACACTGAGTCTGGTATTGATCATGCCTTGTTCGAGGTTGCAACAGTTACAGCTCAATATGCTCAACGAGGCAGATGAGCAAGGTGATGACACGGCATAGTAAAAGAGACACAGAGAGGAACTTGGTCCTCAGAAAGCCAGACACAAAAGGTCGATGACAGGTGGTGAGAGGACTGGCAGGTCTGGAGACCACAGGGGGTTTCATGGAAGTGAAGCCTCAATGTGTGGTGGAGAGGCGGGCGGAGGGTAAGTGATAAAGGGCCTCATAAGGAACGTGAGCAGCATCCTGACTGCCTGGGAGAGCTTACGCCTGCTGTTCCTGTGCTAATATTAATAGTGCCCCTCTTCTTAAGAGTGTCCTGGTTTACATATTAGGTTATACGGTCAGCCTAATTACAAGGCATGCCAAGTGGTCCAAACTTTCAGTGGGAAACCACTGAAAAGTTTGGGGTTTTCTTTCAGAGAGAACATTGTGGAGGATGGGTTGGAGGTTGTAGGGGGCAAGTGACTGGAAGTGCAGAAACTAGTTGGAAGGGTACCACAGTGATCAAGGTGGAAGAAGATGGGGGCCCTGACTGGGGAATGAAGGGTGATGGATGGTTTGATTTAGAAGGTGGCTTCTGGAGGGCTTGGCATTTGACGTGGAAGGTGAGAAATTGGAAGAATTGAGGTTTCTGCATTGGGCAGCTGTGTGGACAGAATGCGGAAGGTAGAACAGGTCTGAAGGAAGATTAGTGAGGGGTTTGGCTTTGGCATTGCTGTTATCAACCTATGTGTGGGGCAAGAGATACCAGTAGGCAGCTTGGTGAGTCTAGAGTTGAAGAATGACCATGGACTAGAGACACGGGCAATAGGGAACCAGAGCCATGGCATCTGTTGCAGATCAGTACTTTACAACTGACTGCTGAATAAAGTTGGATAGAATAGAATGTTCTATATATTATTATGTTCATACTACTGATACATTCATAGACTATATTAAGATTAGATCTTTTTAAAATCAGTTGAGAACAAACGCAACATTTAATTATGAAAGCCTTAAAAATAACAACTACATTTTAAAGGAGAGAATCATTTCTAAAGGCAAGAGGGACTCAAAACTTACATGAGAACTTGGTGAATCTCTTTCTGTTTGTGATAAAATAAGGAAGCTCTTATAGTATTTAATCCAAATCTCTTACTCTGCAAATGAAACCAAGATTCAAAAAGGTCAACTGACATATCCTTGATTACAACTTATTATATATGACTTTGTTTTATGAATTAAAAACCTGTGTGTGACAGGTTGCCTTTCTATTAAAATATAAATTACAGATATTGACTTTAGAATTAACTCATTCAACAAATATTTATGGAATAAGTACTATGTGCCAATTTTTAAAGAAACAGAAAACTTGAACTGATTACTGACCACAGAAAGAATGGAGTTCTTTCCCTCACTAACTGCTTGAATATCAGCCGCCATCATGAACAATGCAGGAACTACCTGCACCAACAACAGAGTGACTATACAGACCAGGAAGTTCATGACCAACAGGCTACTTTAGTGGAAACAAATGGTTATTGACATCCTTCACCCGGGGATGGCAACAATACCTCAGGCAGAAATTTGAGAAAAACTAGCCAAAATGTATAAGACCACACCAGATGTCATCTTGGTGCTTGGATTCAGAACCCATTTTGGTGGTGGCAAGACAACTGGCTTTGGCGTGATTCATGAACCGAATGAAGAAAGGCAGGGGGACTGCGAAGGCCGGCGCCAGCGCCAGCAGAAAGTGAGCTGGAGACTGGGCAACAGGAGTACAGACGCCGCAGCGACTTTATCTGTGATGACTGGGTGGGTTTTTCAGGAGAGGATTAATAAACTAGGAACTTTCATGTGTCAAAAAATGAAGAAAAATGTCAAAAATTACATATGATTACTTATTGATTCATGCAATAAATATGTCTTAAGTGTTTCCTATGGTTCTAGCTCTGAGGAGCTGAGGACAGAAGGTGCAGAAGATATTTGGCTTAGTGGGTTCAAGGACCAAAAAGGAGATGTACCTGGAGCTGACGAGACAGAGGACAGCAGGTGGCCCAATGGGACCGGGGTGGGTGAGGGCCAGCTCACAGGGCCTCAAACCCGATCATTTCCATTTCACTCAGAATGCAGTGGGGGAGCATTAAAGGGCCTTAGGAAAGTGACATATTAGGGCTGTTTTCTAAAAAAGATCACCCTGATTGTTGTGTAAAGAAGAAAATCAGGAGGTAAGAAAGGAAACGGCAAGACCAGTTGGGACACAGTTGAAGGAAGATGGTGGTGTGGCCTGGAATGGTACCGAAGCTGCTGAGGAGCTATCAATAAATGGGATATATTCTGCAGAAAGAACCAGTTTAGACTTGCTCACAGAGTGGGTGGAGGAGTGCTGGTTAACCAGATTTGTGTTTTCTGTGACCAGGCCAATGGTGATAATGCCATCTACCAAAGCAGGGGAAACGGGTGGAGGGCCATGCTTGGGAGGGAAAACCAAGAGTTTTCGTTTGGACATATTAATTTTGCTATATCTATGAGACACTGTGCGAGTATCAACTTAGGCATTGTTAAAAGACTGGAACTTAGAAAAGATAAGCATTTGGGCGTCTTCACCTGAGAAGTAGTGTTAATAGCCAATGGGATAAAGGTCAAGAATTGCACCCCAGTTTTCGAGTGCAGCAATCTTAGTCACCCAACCTCCAGCAATATGGGTGTCAAAGTCCAAAAGAAAATACTACCAAATGCATTTTAACATTTTCGTAAAAGAAGAATACACTGTGACCGATAAGGCTTATTTAAAGAATACAAAGGTGGCTCAAAATCGGGAAATCTATTAATAGGTTAGGGGAAAAAAAAAATAAGATTCTTTGCAAATGCTGAAAAGTTTTCAATTAAAATCAACATCCATTCCTGATTTTTTAAGTTGAAGCTGTTAGATAATTTCTACAGAATTAGAAGGTAGTCCCTTTTCATCATGAAGAATCACTACCACAAACATATAGCCCACACCCTATCTTAATTTAAAAAAGACAGGTATACCCACTAAAGTAATGAACAAGACAAGAAGGCAAGCAATCACTTTACTATCGATTGTTATGGAAGTTCTAACTAAGTATGATTTTCTCCCTAGAACATCAACTAAAACCATCTCAAAATACATCAGTAGCAGTTTTTGAAACCAATAGATAACAAAACAGTCCCTAAATTAATTGGAATTAGAAGATTTAGCATGGGAAAAATCATTCTACTCATAATAGCAATAAAAAATTTAAAATGTCTGGGAATTAATCTAAAAATAAGTAGTATTTATATGAAGAATGTGATTAAATTTTAATGAGGGACATAATGGAAGACTGGAAAAAAGAGAAAGACATACATCTTTAGTTGGGAAAACCAACACTGAAAGATACCCATTTATTTGGAAATAATCCATAAAGTCAACACAATTTTAGTCAGGATTCAAAGGGGATTTTAAAGAACATGAGAAAATCATACTCAAAATTAAGAGGACGAAAGAAACTTGAACAGGAAGAAAACCTAGGGCACACTCGGCATGCCAGGTGTTAGAAGGCCGGGCAAAGCTACGATAAATAAGATCACGTGGCATTGACAAACGAGCAGAATGGGAGGGCAATGGAACTGCAGAAGGTAAAAAAAGGCCCCGAAGTTACCCTAATAGGTCTGTACCTATTCCCACGTATACATGGGCACTGAGGCAGGGCTGGTAGAAACTCACCCAGTGGTTGTATGCCGGAGGCTACGCTTCTGATACTCAGAACATGTTATAGCTTGAAACTTAATTAAATTGGGAAGTGGCACCAAACAGCCTCTAACACTCCCCACCTCCCTGAGGAAATTTCCTGAACTAAGTAGAACTCATTTGTCATACCGTAGTCCCCCCGATCCGTGGGGATACAGTCCAAGGCCCCCCTAGTGGATGCCTTAAACATTGGCTATCACCAAACCCTATATATACCATTTTTCCCTATACATACATACCTTTGGTAAAGTTTAATTTATAAATTAGGCACAGTAAGAGATTAATAACAACTAATAATAAAACAGAGCAATTACAATAATATAGTGTAATAAAAGTTATGTGAATGTGGCCTTTCTCTTCTCTCAAAATCTTTTTATACTGTATTCACCCTTATGATGGGAGATGGATGATACAAGGCCTAAGTGATAAGATGAAATGAGGTGTTCAAAATGGTGTTCAAATTAAAACTTATGAATTGGTTATTTCACGGGTTTTCCATTTAATATTTTCAGACTGAGGCTGACCACGGGCAACTGAAACTGCAAAAAGCAAAACTGCAGCAGATAAGAACGAACTGCTGTATTTTATTTATTTGTTTTGAGGTCACTGCCCTTTACAGAATTTCATACAAGCTTTAAAAAATTTTGCAAAACATGTTGGGGTGATGGGTTTTCACTGCTATTCTGAGGCCCAGTTTTAGACTGAACAGGTGGAAGGGCCCCCAACCTGATCAATCCTCAGAATTGCTTGAAGAGGTTTTAAAAAGCGACATTTGCTGGAGCCTCTCCCAGACAGCAGCCTAGGAGTATCTAGGGATGGGATTTGGTTAATTTATAACACTTCCCAGGGAATTGCACTTCTAGCCAGGCTTCAGAGCTTGGTCCTCAGAAACCCAACATTTAACAACATTATAATGCTTTTCATAAAGGGCACACGTACCTCCCTTGATGTGATCACACAGTACTATGATAGTAATAAGTAGAATACAAGGAGAAAAAAGATGAACAAACTGAGAAAAAAATTATCCCCTTTTAAGAACTGCTACACACACCATTTGCTCAAGGATAAATTTATAATGCTGTAGCCATCACCTCATTAGACACAGGCACATTCTGAATGTTTAATATGTGGCAGTTCACAGCTGACAGAGTTGCCTTGGAAGAGGAAATAAGATATGAAAAGGGAGAATGGAATAGGTAAGTTAAAACTACAGCGTAGTAAACCTTCCCCTCATTAAAACCTTCCCGTCAGTTGGTTGACAGTCACCTTCCGTGTTAATTTGGTGCAGAAGTGTGTATGTTATTATATTTTTTAAATGGTTGCTTTGTTATATAATTCAGCATGATTCTAGAGAAAACTGTGGCCCTTTCTAGATCAAGATCTAGTTGATTTTCTAGATAGAAGATCAAGTTGATTTTCTAGAGAATGGGTGATGCAATAGGTGTGAGGTACACATAAAGGCCTCCGAACCAGGCACTTGTGATCATAGCCTTTCCAGAACCTTATTTTCTGAGACAACTGGGAACTTTCAACCATCACAAGACCGGAGAGATTCCAGAGGGTACATACCTCTGTCGTGGCTCAGCTACGCTGGATCTGTGCCTCCAGGAAGGCGATGCTTCGGCTTGGCTGAAATTGTTGTTTTCAAATATATTCAGGAGTCCCTAAAAACAAAAAGGAAAAAAACCTAGGCTTGATCAATAAATCTAAGATATATTCCTTGAAATAAAAGCTTAATATATAAGTTTCTAAGCCACTAATAAATCTGTTCCAGAACAAAATGGAAAATATTTGGAAAAAGGAATGAGGTCAACTAAAAAAGCAAATGTGACATTGAGCTTGCTCTCTTTCAGATTGAGTCTATTTCACTTAAAAATTACATGATTTAGAAAAGTAATACATCAACAGAAAATTAAAATAACCTATAATTTCTATTAAAACTTTCTTGTTTTTGCCTTTCTTTTCAGATTTTTCACATATGCATTCATTATGAGTAAGTAGATACAGTTTAGTAACCTGCATTTGGACCTGTCAGTTTTTTCCCATGTATCACCGGCTCTAAATTATGACTTTGGATGATTACATAAGGTCCTTTCAGTTAATATGCCATGATTTCTTAGCTACTGCTCTGCTGTTAGCACATTTCAGGATGTTTCCCAGTTGGTTCTAATTTTAGGTCATTCTGATAGGGGGCTCAAATGTTGGAAAAATTTTAGTTTCTGGTAGTAGCTAATAAGCTTAGTAATCAATGTATGTAAAAAGTTATTGTTTCAGGAACTGATGGTATGACCCACCTTGACTCCAGGAGACCAAAAGCAGTTTCACCTTTGTGCCTCAGGAGGTCTCAAGCAATCAAGATGGTTTATCTTAGCCAATGTACTCCCAGGATGAGACACCCACCTGCCCAGGACACAGATAAAGACCACCACCCAGGGCACAGATAAAGACAAGGCAGATGAAAGAATGCTGCAGCTTTTTATCTGATTAACTTTTTCCCTGAAATCCAATCCCCTTACCTACACTTTTTTTTTCCTTATAAGATCACCGGCCATCTGAATAAAGCTCCCAAAATGATTCATTCCCTGTCTCTGCTTATTGGGTCTGGTAGGTGACAGGCAGCATGAACGCCGGCTTTTCCAGTTTCAGTTCTGCCCCAAATTTGTGCCTGCATAAGGCTTTCCCCCACCCCCCCTCCTTGTTCAGTCCTTCCATTGCAAGTAAATTCTCAGGAATGGGATTTCTGTGTGACGGCTTTTAACTTCTTAATGCATGGACTGATTGTTTTACAAAAAGTCTGTACTGATTCACAACACCCCCAGTTGGGTGTGACTAGGAAAAAGATACATTGGTATATATACTTCAGTATATACCAATGGTCAGTTTTACATAGATGGCTAAAGTTAGTCTTTAACAAATTGTAGAAGTAGGTATCATTTCCTCTTATTTTATGAATGGACAAAAGGAGGATGAGGAAAATAGGTAACCGGTCCAAAGTCATGAAATTAGTTGCAGAAATATCTTTCTAATTCCAAAGCCCTGCCACCTCCCCAGACAACTGGAATACGCAAATTTCAGGGGTTGCTGTTGCTGTTATTGTTGTCGTTTACGGATGTAAAATGATAATCCAGGTTTGCTTTAATTTGCATTTTAGTCTGTAAATGATTAATCATTTCACCATTTATCTACCATAATCTTGATATTTTCCTTTCACAAGTACAAAAAACTTGTTAGTTATAAATAATACACAAATCACATCATAGCTCTGCTTCCTTTCCCTTTCCATTTTAGTTCTTTTTCATTGTAAGAGCTCCTCAGTGTTTCTGAAGGTAAAAGTGTTCTTCTCACTGATCTTTTTTCCAAATCTGAGCGAGTTTATTTTTCCAGAAGTCTGATATTTTTATTCAGTTTTCTGTTTCCACTTTTTCTGATAATTTGATTTGTAAACATGTTTAATCCTATGCTACCTGAGGCTTTTCTCAAGGAAAGAGAAACCTCACATTACAAGGAGGATCACCATGATCGGAACGGTGAAATTGCATTCTGTTGTGTATGAATCTGGAAATGAGGAAACGAAAAATAGAAAGCAGTGGCTTTGGGATGGTTACGGTGGATGTGATGGCGATGGGTTTACGATTAAAATAATCTGTTGGCTATAGCTACTGCGAACGGCATGTGGAAAAAAGCGACAAAGGGGCAGTATTGACAGCTTTCTCCCCGCTGTTTACTAAACGATCGTGAAGGCACCTCCTACACAGTTGGAGAAGGACGGTTCTCCGCGGGGCGCCGTCCGTCCCGGATCCCTTCCCTCAGAGCCCCCTAGATGGTCGAATTCTCTCCTTTCGAAGGAACAAGAAAGAAGTGAAAAGCGAAGGCTGCCGGTCTGCTGGGCGCGCAGGAGACCCTCTGTCCCCGAGGGCCCAGGCGTCCCGGAGCCGCGAATGGAGGGGCAGGGCCGCCCCAAGACCCCTCCCCGCTGAGGCCCCAGGGTGGTGCAGTCCGTCTCGCGGTTGCCAGAGCCCCAAGGGCCGCGGCCTCCCCAGGGACCGCCTAGGCCCGAAGGATGGCGGGCAGGACCGCTTGTCCGGAGGTCGAAGGCTGCTGGGGGCCCCCTCCCTAGAGCATCTGGAAGGACGGGGGCTGGCCAAAGGGCATCCCTGCCCCCGACTGGGCCTCTGCCCGCTGGCTCAGAGGGTGGCCAGCTGGCGCTGAGCCAGGAGTCTCGAGGCCCCCAGGGCCTCTCCCCGGTTCTCCTTGCGCAGCGCCCCAGCGGAGCCCGCTGCAGCCCTTCTCGGATGCCCTGGCCACTTTAGCGCGGGGTGATCGCGCCCACTTCCCGCGACCCGCAGCCCCTCTGGCCGAGACTCACCCATCCCGCTCCCCCCGCGGATATGCACGTGGGTGTGTGTGGGGTAGGGGCAGCAGTCAGCCACCGGGGTACGACCGACGTCCCTCCCGAGGCGACTCGGCCAGCGCCCCTGACCCCCGCCCCATTCCGAATAAAAGGAGCTTTCCCAAACAGAAAGGCACAACCCAGCTGCGTCGTCGAAAACCAAAGAGCACACCGGCAGGCCCCACGCGCCAAGATTCCCCAGTTAAGACCGCTTCCCCTTCCCACTGTCAAGGTCGGCCTCTGGGTGCCGGGTTCTCACTCTCGGTCCCCTCGGCGCGCCCCCGCACCCCAGTTGTCAGGACCCCAGCGCCCGATCCACGCTGGGAGTTCCAAGGGCTACAAGGTTGTTTACCTACCTCGATCAGAGAAGAAGCTCGCAGCGCCGCGGCAGCTAGCGACTGGCGCGGAGAGCTGGCGACTCGCTGGAGCTAGGAGGAGGTGCCAGGGGCGGGGAGAAGAGGCGGTAGCACTCGCGAGCGGAGGTCGGCGTGCGGACCAATCACCACGCCACCTCGCGCACACCCTGGCGCGCTAAGGGCCCACCTCACGGGTCTTCTGGGAAGGTGTTTCTCCTCCAAGCAGGGGCCGAGTATCTGAGTCACCGTGGAAAAAACGAATTGGAATTCGCTTAAACATTTGTGTCAGTTGATACCTCTTCCGGTGTCATCACACCCTGACGTTGCTCCTGGACTGTAAAAATCACCTGTAAAGGGAAATTCCGCCCAAAGACCTAACTCTCTTGTTATATAAAGGAATATTCGAGAAAATAGAACGCTAAGGGATGAGAAAGCAATTTTGGAACTTTGGTCACCAGAAATTTCTGAAGAGGAAAAATTTTTGCTACCCTGGATTGAGATGAATATTTATAAATTTCCATATAAGTAATTAAAATGAAGGGCTTAGGAAGCACTGTAGCCATCACCTGTTCCTTCATTTACTAAGTTTCTGCTCCTTATGCAAAAGAGGGGATTTAGATTATGATATTCACGAATGAGAAAAAATATACTCCATTAGACAAGTCCATTCTGTACATTACAGAATGGTGTATTCTTGCTCATTATCCTGATAAGGAATTAGAGGTTTGTCTCATGTAAAGGAAGACCAGGGACAAAGTGATAGGACAGGCGGTAGGGTTGTATGGACCATATAAATTGTTATCCAGATTGGGGGGGTTTGAGAGTGAAAGAGCACCAAAATTAAGCCAAGTCAAAGGGCATAAACCGACACTGCCCTAGGAAAAATGAGACAACTAGTCTTCTCATTATGGGCAAAAGTTTCCACAAATCTTGAAATGGCATTTGGATTAAACACTTGTATCCCAGAGCCATCGCTCGAAGTGGGAGGGGACAAGTGGTGAGGGTGGAGAGAAGCCAGGAGAATTGCACAGAATGAGGCCAAACAGCTGCTGGTGGTATTTATATGAGTGTGGGTGGAGGCCTGAAAGATCTGGGGAGGCAAGTGAGTGGTCTGGTTGAACCTTCACTGGAGGGAGATGATTGAATAACAGAATACTGGATAGTGGCTGCTTAGAAACGATCACTGGGCAGCGATGGCGCCCCGCCTTCTAGCCATTATTGTTGTCATGATCATGTTGACAGTACTTTTAGTCTCACCTTCTTTCCTCAGAGCTGCCTTATTGGGAGGTGAGTTGGGGGCAGTGTAGCACCTCCGAGTGAAGCTGGAGTGGGTGACTAGGTCAGACCAGGTAACGTGCTGGCTTCCCCCTGGCGGAAGGGGCTCTTTAAAGTTTGGTTAAGAGACGCTGAACTCAGCTTTTTATCAAAAGAATCCTATGTCTACTGGCTGAATGCCCTGCTTCCTCTACCACAAACCCCCACCACCAACCCCCAACCCCCGCCCCCCAATCAGGAAAAGGCTCAAGAGGCAGAGGATTTCTAAAAGGGAGGGATGAAGGAATGAAAAGGGATAGCCTATGTCCTGTCCTGGCTATTGCTGCTATGTAGCAACTACCCACAAATAACCTACATTTTATTATGCCTGTGGATTGTTTAGGCCAGGGAGTCAGACAGGCACAGCTGGGACTTGACTCTGCCCCATGACATCTGAAGACTCAAAACCTGAGGTGACCTGAGAGCTGAGGGCTGGAATCATTTGAAGTCTCTTTCACTTGTATGACAGATACCTGGACTTGAGGATTAGCTGTGCTGATCAGAATGCCTCCACATGGCTTCTCCATGCGGCCTGGCTTCTCCCCTGCATGGCTATCTCAGGTTTGATGGATTTCTTACGTGGCTTATTAGGACTCCAAGTGTGAGTTTCAGCAGACAAAATGAAAGTTACATCGCTACTTCTCACCTCTTCTGAGAAATCAACCTCACTTCCACTGTTTGCTATTGACTAAAGTAGTCATATGATCATCCAATTTAAGGGTAGCGGGACATAGATTGCATCTCTCAGTAGGAGTACCACAGAATTAGTGGCTCTATTTTTAAAGGACTTAGAGGGAGGGAGAAAGAGGGAGAGAAACATCAATCTGCTGTCTCTCGTATGTGGCCTGACCAGTGACTAGCCCGCATCCCAGGCATATGCCCTGACTGGGAATTGACCCTGCGACCTTTCACTTTGCAGTACAGGACGATGCCCAGCCAACTGAGCCACACTGGTCAAGGTGAATTTGTGGCCTTTTTAAATAAACAGCCATATTAGGGTTAGCGGTCTGGCCTATAGACTCTTAGGGGGTTTCATTGATGTTATGGACAGCATCAGGGTGGGCAGCCCACAAGGGGAGCTTTTGCAAATGGCCCTACATCATTCCTTATCCCAGCCCTATTTACAACTGCCTCTCTATTCACCACAATCACCATAGTATAAACAAGGCCATTTTCTGGACTACTGGAGTAGGGATGAAGCTTTGTCCTCTGGGGCCTTTTTGGATCAGCAGTTCCTAATCGCAGTGTGTGTCACCGGAAGGACTGGATAAAACACAGATTGCTGGGCCCCACCCCAGAGGGTCTGGCTCAGTCTGGGGTGGGGTCCAAGAATCTCCATTTGTAAAAGGTTCCTAGAGGCTACTGAACCACACTTTGAATGGGAGGAAGAGCTACCTGCAAGAGAGACTGAGAAGTGATGGCCAGTGGGGTAGGAGGGAAAACAAGAGGGTTCCAGAAGCTGAGAGAAGAAAGTGTTTCAAGAAGGTGGGAGTCAACTGCTGAGAGACCAAATCCAGACAGGAAAGAGCTCACTGGATTTGGTGACATGGAGGTCGCTAAGGGCACTTGATGGGAGTAGTTTCAATAGAGTTGCTGCAGATAGAGACGAAGTCCAGGGTTTTGGTGGTTCCAAACAGCGAACTGAACGATTACATAAACAGGGTTAGGTGAAGCATGCAATGTTCATTGAGAAAAGAACATTCCCCAAGATGTGGAAGTGAGCTATTCTTTGGTAACAGAAAATGTTCTCTTCCCCCCAAAAGATGCAGGTTTTATAGGGGGTGGGCTTTTTCTGAATCCCTTTATTTCATGGGCTTTTTATTGGTTATGAGTGAGGGGTAAATTCTTGTTTTGCCGGCTTTTTACTGTGCATGAATGACTGGTTATATAACCTCTAAGTTTCTGCTCATGTACTTTCCCATAATTCCTTTTGATTGCCCTCTTGGGATAAAACAGCAATGCTAATTTATTATAATAGCATGATAACTAAGTGGGATAAAACAGAAGTTAACTACAGCAACAGCAAAGGTGCACAGGTGTGGTCTCTAGCTAGGTGCTGTAAGGCATTTCTTGATAACCAGGATGCTGGCTGACGACAGCAGAATAGCACGATGTCTCAGGATTTCCTCATTTCCTAATCTATCTCCTGCCTCAAGTGATGGCGACAGATATGAATTGAAGAGGGAACGAAAGGTGAAGGAGTAGAGATAACTTTTCTGAGTTTTACCCTGAGGGGAGCAGAGTATTGGGCAGTAGTTGGAGGAGAGAGTAGGCGAAAGAGAGGCTATTCTGACCTCTCTAACAATGAGGAGCCTCTTCAGGGTGGGTCGCTTCGATGGGATATTCATGTTCTCAAAGACCTCATTCCTTCCCTCTGTCCACTCTGCCCTCCCAGGCTGGGGTCTGATGGCTGCAACAATCTGAGGTACCATGCCAGAAATCACTACACACAGAGGAAGACAGCCAGCTTGTGTTTGTGCTCTTCACTCTTAGGAGTGAAGAACATTTTCTCTAAAGGTGTGTGCTCGTGAATTTAAAGAGAATACGCTGCTGCCACGGTACAGGGGGGCTCGTGTCTGTCCACTCTTTAACGTTTCCTTGATGGTTAGACTCCAAGGTCTGGGATTAATGTTATGTGAAAGGGCTCTGACCACACTTTGGGCTGCGGTCATGCAGGCCACTTGTTTCTGCTTTAACTGTCATCTTGAGGCTCCACTCAAGCTGTTTCATCAGCCCCAAATTTCTTCACCCTACCTCTCTTCCGTGGGATTCTTGCTCAGGTGGGTCTTCCTCTGTGAAATCTTTCCATATTGTCCCACCAAAACTCAACCATCTCACGCCTGCTCCGGCAGTAACTGGCTTGTACCATCCAGCCCCATTTGGCCAGCCCCGTTATTTATCAGTCAGTCTCTAACTGGGTTGTAAATCCCTGGGAGGAGAGCCGCAGGGCTTTGCAGATGGTAGGTGTCCAGGAAAATCAGTTGAAGATGTCCTTGCTGAGTGTGGTTACCTCCTCCAGCCTTTCGTTTTGCTCTTGTTCCTAACTGCCCCATGGCTCCATCAGAATTTTTCCTTCTCTCTGTGTGTCTAGTTACGTGTGAGGCATCCCAGCTCCCTCTGTAACCACAACCAAATGTTCGGCGTCGTCTAGAACCTTTGCCACACTGGGGTCCTTCACTTGCTTTATTCTGTGTCACAGGTTCTATGGCACAAACTGTTTGATTTTGTTAGCATTCTTTTGTCTCCCACCCAGGCTTGGCTTCTGACTTGTTCCATTGTTCTGGAAACTGGAGCCATCCTGTATTTCAACTGGAAGTTCCTGCAGCATTAGTAATTTTTTTTGTCTTTGACTAAAATGATTCTAACACCAAATTTCAACATGGGTTTGTGTGGTTTCCGCCACTATTGAACAGTGCTCCAACGCTAGTTGGGTGTCCTATAATTCAACTCAATTCTGACATCAGATTCCACAGGTTAAAGGTTCAGTATCACAAGACTTTGCTCTCCCTTCATCCCCCACTTCAGATGCCATTTGCGAGCTCAGGCTGTCACCTGCGCTTTCACCTGGGCTTCTGACCAACTGCTATAGATCAGAGGTTTCATTAACCCCCTCCTGGGTTTGAATAATTTGGTAGAGTGACTCATGTAACTCATAGCAACATGTTACTTACTGAATCAGTGGTTCATTATAAAAGGATATAACCCAGGAACAACCAGGTGAAAGAGATGCATAGGGCCAGGTATGGGGAAAGGGTTCGGAGCTTCCAAGCTCTTTTCAGGCATGTCTCTCTCTCCAAATCTCCATGTGTT